TATATATATATATCGCAGTTAGAAAGAATCAGAAAAGCATTCCCTTTCGATTTATATATATCGATATCACAAGAGACACGGAATCTCGTCTCGCGCCATGCTATCTCAAGTCAAGTTAGGTACATTTGGGGTGTATTCGAAATGTCTGCAAATTCTGTCTAATTGTTCGTGCATCGTAATTGTTAGTTAAACAAGTTTTGAAACTATGTTTTTGTTTATTAATTTAATATTGTATAGGAGCCATTATTTATTTTTCAATCTTTGACATATATTAAATATTTATAGATGCCAAATAAGGCGAAATTCTTTGAGTCATGATGTGTGCACGAATACCTAGACACGATGCGCATGCTCCATACATGCTCCGAATAGCATCTCATGGGAAGGCATTTTGCGTATATGAAACTAGCCGACAGAAATTATTAAATTTGATTAATTTTAACTTTCCCGAATGTATTTTGTTTGTGATTGATTATGAGATTATCTGTTTTTAATGTTTGTGACAAATTACTTTTTTCGTAATTAACAATTTTATTTTAATAGTCATGATGATCAGCTGACTTTTTAGTAATAAAAAACAGATTTTATGATAATTAATAACTGTAATTGATAGAAAATCGTATATTCGTAAATCATAATTTTCTATAAATTACAGGCAATTATCACAAAATCGATCTTTTTATTACTAAAAAGTCGGCTGATATTATAACTAAAATAAAATTATTAATTATAAATAAATAATTCGTCACAAACGTTAAAAACAGACGCGCAATTAATCACGATTTACAAACGAAATACAATCAGAAAAGTTAAAAATAATCAAATTTAATAATTTCATGTAGGTGGGATTTTGGTTTTCGCTCGACCATAGACTATAGTAATAATAGACCGAGTGTAAAATACGAGGTCCGAAGGACGAAAGAAAATAAGTAAAGAAATGTCCAATCATACAAATGGATCGTCTTGCGATGTCACTGCGCAAGCGCATAAGAGTGAATTATCATTATTTTCTCTATATTTATGTCGACTTTACCATCAAAGTATTGCTGCTGGCATAAAATGCATTCGGTTTATTCTTGCAATAGGTTATTCGTTAGTTAGAGAGGGAAGGAAAGTGAAGAGTGTAGAAAGTGCCAGCAAAACGAACAAACCTTGTAACGATGTTAATGACACGGTTTCCGGTTCCGGTTTACATATTTCCATCTCGAGCGCATCATAATTAATTTGTGTGCATCGCGGGTGAGTGCTGCTTAAAAAAAAAAATCTAAAATTCTATTTTTAATTTAATATTGTATTATATAGCCTACTGTATACAATCTATTGCCCTCTTTAAGCGAGGAACTGCATGTCAATACGAATTGGTAAGCGCAGATATATTTTTTCTCGTATGATATATTATTTCAAGTATATCATTTTTTCGTAACAGTTATATATTGGCCTTGAGTAATGTGAAATTAGTCCCGACCGTTACTTTTATGTCTTTTTCGATCGAACGTACGTCATTATATTTATTTTTTTTTCGGTCTTATATATTTAATCTTTCATACATGCCGAATGCGGTTATAAATCGCGCTTTGATATCATCTCTAAAACACAAGCAGACCGTCCAACGAATATCGATCGTATAATATCTATGTCGTTGCGAGAGGATTCGAAAACAACAAAAATTGATATAATTCTACATCTTCGTCTATCATCTGATTATCTTGAATGTATAAAGTCACATAGAACATTGTTGTATTGTAGATAATATTTTTTGTTAATTAAAGTTTATCGACGCGAATATCATATCATCATCGTTAAGTACACATTGTAGAAAAGAGACTTTGGTACTTTGTATTTTCGTAGGAAAGATTAAAAGAAAAAAACAAAAGAAGTTTAACGAAAGAACAAATCTAGCAACGTGGAAAAAATTAATGTCCTTATATAATTTTGATGAGAGAATTTGGTCGTCGGCGTTTTAGACAGGTATATACGCTAAACTATATAATATCTCATATATGCCATTTTGTTGTCACTAAAGATCCGTTCAGACGGATTTGCATAGATTTGCATCTAAAATGTGTACAGAGAAATCAACCAATCACGGATCTAACAATAAGATAAAAGATGCCACATTGTTGCTTATACATATACATTATAATAAGATTTGCTCCTTTAAGTTACACTTTTTGCACTTCGAGTGTTGCTACAAATGCTCTGTAGCGTTAGATCACAATATTAACTGATCCGTTTCGGTGAATTCTAGCGAGATAGTGTGAATAATAATGGACAATTTTGTAAAAGCTTAGAAGGTCTGGAGTGCACATTCAGCAGCACCGTACTTGGATTTTATTTCTTTCTCACTTCAAGGGATAATACATACGAGGATACATTTGTTCAATTTCTAGAGAATTTGAGAGAATGTAGAAAAGGCAGGTTAATAGTAGAGATCACATGTTAGAGTATATTTATCATGAAATCTAGTCGAGAGAGTGTCAATTTTAAATGTTTTAATCTTTATATAAACTCAAAGTTCACACCTTTAATCGATCGCCTGTGAATCAATCGCGTAATCAGCTGATATTTGAAAACGCGATGTAATATTACCGTTGTGGTTCAACGCGGTGATATATATAGATATCAAGCATTCCGTTCACGAATATATAATCTCGGCCAGTATATCTGTTCACTTTATCGGACGACGTGACTGTTGCACATAATCGGAAAGATATTGGGCGAGACGAATATCAGCTGTGTAATATTGTTATTATGCTGGAATTTTCGTAAAGTATCAATGCCTCGTCTCATGGTTCTTTTTTTCACAAAGCATAGCGCGGGAGGCGGAGTCCTGAGAATCTTTCTTACAAATTTGTTCAATTTCTAGAGAATTTGAGAGAATGTAGAAAAGGCAGGTTAATAGTAGAGATCACATGTTAGAGTATATTTATCATGAAATCTAGTCGAGAGAGTGTCAATTTTAAATGTTTTAATCTTTATATAAACTCAAAGTTCACACCTTTAATCGATCGCCTGTGAATCAATCGCGTAATCAGCTGATATTTGAAAACGCGATGTAATATTACCGTTGTGGTTCAACGCGGTGATATATATAGATATCAAGCATTCCGTTCACGAATATATAATCTCGGCCAGTATATCTGTTCACTTTATCGGACGACGTGACTGTTGCACATAATCGGAAAGATATTGGGCGAGACGAATATCAGCTGTGTAATATTGTTATTATGCTGGAATTTTCGTAAAGTATCAATGCCTCGTCTCATGGTTCTTTTTTTCACAAAGCATAGCGCGGGAGGCGGAGTCCTGAGAATCTTTCTTACAAAAAAAAAAAAAGATTTATTCCCTCGGTAATTAATAGCATGCGAATGTCGATGTCGTATCGATCCGTGCGATCGTCAATCGCGAGACGATACGAGAAGGACTCGCAATTTCGTAAATTTGAAAAGATTCGGAAAAGCTTTCGCGACAGGGAGCATTTTGGCGGCGCTGATGCGACGCGATTGGTCGCCGCGACTGCACCCGTTCACTGTACCTTTCGCGACGGCCAATGGGAAGCGACTTGCCGCGTCGTCGCCACTGCATGTCCGGCCTATGGGGATGTAGCTGTCGTTGTACTCCGGAGGCTCGAACGCTCAAAAGATGTGCGAAGATTTTTGTTAAAAGTGCGTGAATCGCGTAGCGATTTATTCGTCGTTTGTTGTGTCAGAAAAATTTCGGACGTGGACGGTGATTAACGGTGTACGTTGATGATTTCACCGTGAGATCGATTATTCCGGTGAAAAGTACCGTGACTGCGCGCGTTGCCTCCTTCATCGACGAGTGAGTTCGTGATGCGCGACGAACACGGATTTGCAAAAGTATTCGAATAGCGAAGTGCCAGCCGCGATGGACTGCTTCTTTCCAGTATCGCTAAAAACGTGTATCTCTTATCGTGCAGGAGGCGCGAAACTCAGCACTGTCGTGTCCACAGTGAAATTCAAAGCGTGAAAAGCGTTTCAAGTACGACTGCTGTGCTATTCGGTTGTAATATAGTTCGGCGCGCCATTTAAATCGCACTTCTTCGCTCTATTCTCGACGAGTACATCGAGCGAATTTTATTAATGAGCAAATTTGTACAGTAAAAATACGATTGCCCGACTGTGCCGTGTTTTTACGAAAAAGGAACTTTTTTTTACAATTCCTCCGCGAATTATGTAACAACGGTAACGACGCGATATGCCGATGATAAACACTATGTCCACTAGGTTCGTAAAATTGCATTTGTACTAGGCTCTTTGAATAAATATACCATGTATTAGATTTTATTTAATATATAATGCATTTATTAAGATTGAACAGGAAAATATTATGTTTCTATTTATTTTGCAATGCGATAAAAGTTTATTTGAGCTTAATCTCTACATTCGTGTAATTTTATTAAACTATTAGATATATATACATACATACATACATACATACATATATATATATCATCTTAAATATATTTTTAATTCTTATGTTTTGAATAAACATAAAAATGTTCTTTTTTTTTAAATTAATGAAACAAAATTTAGACAATTTTTTTTTAAATGGTGGCTTATGTATTACAATAAGTTGCTGATTTATAAAAAAAAAGTATTTGTTTTATATATTTTTCAGTATTTTCTTTCTAAATCAAATATGTGAAAGGATATTCTCTTATTAATATCATGTAGTGATGGATTACAAAATAGATCAGCTTCATAATCCAAGGCTCAGTTATAAAACAATTTTATTGTCCTCTTTGTTAACAGAATGGAAGAAGAAATAGTAGTAGACGATATAGATGAGAATAGTAGTGCGGAGACACAGCAGAGGGATGGCACGACAACACCCGTAATGCCTTTGCTATATATTCAACAAAATAAATTACGTTCTACCCAATCAACAAATGCAAATCAAACCCTTGTTTCACCTAGTACTCAACTTACTGCCATTATTAATCCAGTTAATAATCAGGTAATTATTTGAAGCATATAAATGTAACAGTGCGCATCTTGCTTAATATTAGCTTTTTTTTTTAATTTATATTGCAAATAGAGATAGAGAGTCTTTCTATATGGATTACACCAATATTTGTAACTTGTATTTCATGTAAGCATTTTAGAATGTGTTATATAGAGGATCAAAAAATATATAATCAAATTATACATAATAACCTAGAATTAAACCTTTAAAGATAATTAAACTTTTTAAACTTAATTAAACCTTTATAAAAAAAGATTTTTTAATGATTTGCATTTTGTTATATTTATACATATTCTTGGAACAAAATGTGACAGTACTAAATATAGCTCATGCTTAGTGTACATATATGTAGGTCTTGGAGTCTTATTAGATTCCATATGTAGGTGGTAGTGAGTGTATGCGTGCGTGGTGCATCTTTTCATAGTAAATATAGATTTGGCCAACAGGGACATATATATATTCGTCGTGAGATTCAAGCAAAAAAATACACAAAAAATTAATTTTCTAAATTAGAAATATATATTTAAATAAAATAATATTAAATAAAATATATTTAAATATCTGTAACTATTGAATTTTCCTATAGTTTGTGTATCTGATGTGTTATGTCTTATCTATGTTGTTAAATACATTGACAGATAAGAAATGGATGTTAATTATTTTAAAATGTTACAATTGTGTGTGCTAAAATGTTTGCAATTAATATGAGAAATTGTACAAAAGTTTTTTATTTGTGAATGTATAGAGAAATTAAGTTTCAAGGAAGATTGTAACTTTTATTTTTTTCAAGTTAATTTTAAACAGTAAGAGTATATGTTCACATTTGTTATTTAAAATTAATTTTTATTCTAGATTGTGACTGGACAAAATAAGGTGTTTATACAAGGATCAGGGCAGGTAGCTACATCTCAAAGTAAACAACATATTGTAATACATCGACCGATAAATACTGTGAGCACTGTAGCAACCTCACAGTCTCAAAAACATATTGTACTTAGAAAGTCAACATCCACTGCTCAGATAGTGCCCTTGAGTACGACTCAAGGAAGTCAAACCAATGCGCAAGTAGGAAAGCATACATTCGCATATCTGGGAACTCTCATTAAACCTAATAAGTCGCGAGAATCTGTTGTTATACCAGCAGGTAATAAATTTCTACATTCTATAAATTTTAGAATAGAACTGCTTTGTGCATTTGCCAATTGATATAATATAAAAAAACAATTAAATATTACATATGTAATATATACTTAAATATATATATATATATTAAATATATAATACACATATTAATATGTTTGATAATAATATCTGCTTATTTAATTATATAATGTTATGTTTTAGGTGCTCTAACATCAACTCAAATATCTAAGCCAAAATTAGTGATTACTCCAGTAATATCTCAACTAGCTCAGACATCAACAAGTACCACAAGCGGTCAGAATCAACCTTCTAAACATATGGCAAACTTACTATTGCCAGTAAACATTCCCCAGCAAAGTGGTACAACAAAACCTAGCATGTTTAATCTAAAAATAAATAATGGTCAACTCAGTACAGAAAGCAAAGGGACTATAACAGGTATAGACATATAAGTAATAATATATCTTAGTAATATATATTATACGTGTATATATTTACACAGTATATTAAAATAAAAGACCTAATTCTTATTGCATATCCCATTTTAGTATTACGTGAGTCAAAAACGACGAATTCAACGACACATCCACCACCATTGCATCCAATAGCAAAAATGAGCCTTTTGAATGCAAACAAGGGCAATTCTAATTCCATAGATAGTATAAAAATTACTGAAAATCCAGATTCAGCTGTTATCACGCCTATTCCAAAAAAGGAAGATAATCCACCAGAAAAGCGGAAAAAGACAATTAGCAACATATTACGAGGTTCCGCTGAAAAACGAATGAAAAAGCAAAATATTACAAAATCTCAAGACAGTCTGGCTGATACTAATTATGCATTAAGCAGTCCAGAATCTGAACAGGACAAAGATAAGAAGGCTCAAAATGATGATGATATTACATTGATAAAAGTTGTTCCTAGTGAGGATAAAATATCAAAACTTAATACAAATATGGATGATGATATAAAAATAGAGATTATTAAAACTCCGAATTGTAGTGTTGAAACAATGGCAGACAATAAGAGTGAAACAAAGAATAATAATCATGATGAAACAAAAGAACAATTAAATACATTGAATCAGAACAATACCAATTTTGATGCAACTAAAGTTTTAGACTGGAAGGATGGTGTTGGTACTTTACCTGGGAGTAATTTACAAGTAAGAGAGTAATATAGTTTTTATTTTTTTTTAAATTTCATTAATATAATGATATTAATGAAAAACATTAGTTAGCATATATTTAAAGTAAAAAATTAAAAACTCATACTGTTAACATTAAAAACTTATACTGTTTTATGAGCATTATAATATTCTTATCACATTCAAATATTCTTAAATGTATGTGCATGCATAAATAATTTATTTATTATTCATTTAGTTTCGTATGAATGAATTTGGCATTATGGAAGTAGTAGAAGAAGATGAAAACAGTAAACAACATAAAGATGGTATTGGTGACAAAGAAAATGTATGTTTGATACAAAATTCCTCAAAGACCAATCCAGGGATTGTTAATAATACTAATTTGGAGAAAAAAGGTAAATTACAAATAATACATCTCATGATTTGAATATAAGCATTTATATATGACTATAGTAGAATACATTTGATTTAGCTGACGATAGAAAATCCAGATCGGTATCCGCAGACACAATGTATCATTGCGAAGCATGCGGATGTTATGGATTAGCTGCTGAATTTGAAAGTCCAATATCATGTAGTCCTTCCTGCACAGAAGTAATAGAGGCTAAAAAACAGCCTATAAATCGAAAGGAAAAGGATCTGAAGTATGCATTGTGTACATATGTGAATATTAATATAGAATAATTAAGATAAAAAATTTACATAAATTTTTATTATTTATATAGAGAGATACGTATGAAAAAGAAGCGCAAAAGATTATTACAAGAAGCACAATGGTCAAAGGATATGGATGAGAAATCTGATGAAAAAACACCGGATAAGGCAAAATCGGAGACTGATGAGGAAAAAGATACTATTGTAGCTATAGATGATGAGAGCCAAGGAGATTCGTCAGAATCCAAGGTAGGAATTAAATGTAGATTGGATATAATAATTAGATTATTAAATTTTGAATTACCACATTAAAGATTAAAATATAATAATTAACTTTTCAAATCTTGTTTTATATGCAGTATCCTTGGCAAAGAGGAAAATTGGGTTTTTCATGGCCGAAATATCTTGAACATTGTAAAGCAAAAGCAGCACCTGTTAAGTTATTCAAGGATCCTTTTCCCTAC